GGTGGCTCACCTGCTGCCCACCTTTGCTTTCAGGACGGTGAAGATAGATGTGTACGACTGGGACCGAGATGGGAGGTGAGGCTGTGCCCGTGATGTGGCAGGGCTCCTTCCTGGGGTGCTCCTCACTGGAGTGTCTGGCCATGCTGACCCCACGCTCCTCCCACAGCCACGACTTCATCGGGGAATTTGCCACCAGCTACCGGGAGCTCTCTCGAGCACAGAGTCAGTTCACAGTGTATGAGGTAGGGCAGGGGGCCAGAGTGGGAGGCTGAGGGGCATCCCGTGCTGGGATCAACACACCCTGCGCCCACAGGTGCTGGAAATGCAAGAAGAAGAAATATGTGAATTCTGGCACTGTGAGTGGGGCTGGGGCACTTCTGCTTTTTATGGGGCTGGGCTCCCCCAGTTGTGCCTGCAGGGTTGGGGGGGCTCTGGGTCTGACTCCCTGTGCCTTCAGGTCACACTGCTCTCCTTCTCCGTCGAGTCTGAGTTCACCTTCGTTGACTACATCCGGGGCGGGTGAGTGGGGGGCTGGGAGCCCCCCGGCTTCTTGAGACCCCCCAGGGGCAAAGGTCTTGGGGCAACGACAGTAGCGATGGCAAGGTGCAGCCTGGGGGTGATGGGGCTGGGGAGGGGGTGCACCAGGGTGTGGGGTGCTGTCTGGGGATGGGGAGCCCAGGCAAAGGGAAAGGGTCCAGGTGGGGGAACACCTACGCTGTGGGGCTGGAAGATGGTATCCCTGCGCTGTGGGGCCGGCAGCCTCCCTCGCTCTCCCCTCCAAGGACACAGCTGAATTTCACCGTTGCCATTGACTTCACTGCCTCCAACGGTAAGTGCAGATGGTGTCTGGGGGGTCCCTGTTGCCATGGGGGTGGCCATGGGCTGGGTGTGATGGGCACTGTGCCGCAGGGTTGCCATCGCAGCCTACCTCACTGCACTACGTGAGCCCCTACCAGCTGAGCGCCTATGCCCTGGCACTGAAGGCAGTGGGGGAGATCATCCAGGACTACGACAGTGACAAGCTCTTCCCCGCCTACGGCTTCGGTGCCAAAGTCCCACCGGATGGCAAGATCTCCCACCAGTTCCCCCTGGTGCGCTCACCCTGTGGGGCAGGGCTGAGCGTGAACCCAGACCTGGTTGTGGGGCAGGGCTGGCTGTGG